CAATTTGGGGAATTACCATTCATGCCTGTACCTCATTCTGAGAGTCATCTATCCACACTTCCATCTTTTATTGGAGGAATCACCAATCTGTGCCTCCATTTTTCATTTTTGGAATCAACTTCCATACTTTTGTCTCCTTTTGGAAATTACAGCCTGTCCCTCTGTGACCTGCTGGGAATTACCTCCATCGTGGCTTTTGGGAATTACCACCTGTGCCTATACATGCATTTGGAAATGACCACCTTTGCCCTCCTCGTGGTATTTTGAGGATTACTACCTCTGCCTTCATCTTGGTTTTGGAGGAGCTCTCACCTGTGCCATTATGTGGAGATACAGGTCTATTTTTGTTGTCTTTCGGGAATTAACCACTAGTGCCTACACCTGGAGCCAGCTTCTGGGAATTGCCACCTGTACCTGCATTGCCTTCTGGGAATTACCACCTGTGCCACCGTCTTCTTTTGGGAATTATTACCTGTGTATTATCTGGAGTCATCTTTGGGGGGAGGGGTATGGCCTGAGTCTCCTTGTCTTCGGGTAGTTACTGCCTATGCCACAGTCTCCTTTTGGAAGGCTAAAGCCTGAGCCTCCCACTTTGAGGAGGTGCAAGTTGTACTGCTTCTCATGAGGGGGGGCCCCAGCTGAGCCTCCATCTGTGGAAAGCTGCATCGTGTCCCTTGGGGGAGGTTTTTACAAGTTGCATTTCTCCCTATGGAGAGGTACAGCTGTACCTTTTGCTCCTTTTCAAAATTCCAGTCTATGCCTATATTTCCTTTTAGGAATTTCCATCCATGGATGCATCACCCTTTCGGAATCTCCACTGGTGGTTACATCACTCTTTGGGAATTATCACCTGAGCTACCAGCTTAGTCTTTGGGAATTACAACTTGTTCTTGTATCTGGAGCTATCTTCGGGGAGTTTCAGCCTGTACCTCTGTCTCCTTTTGGAGAAATATAGCCTGTGGCTCTCCGTGAAGACATCTTTTGGGAGCTCTAGCCTGTGCCTTTCTGTTGTGGGGAAAGTGCAGCCTACATCTCCAGCTGGAGCCATTTTGGCAGAGCTGCAGCCTGAGTCTCTCTGTCTTGGGGGAGAAACAGCTTGTATTCTTTTGGGATTTTTGGGGGAAATATCACCTATGCTTGCATCACATTTTAGGGAGGGGCAGCCTGTACCTCTGTCTTTGGGGAGGTATAGCCTGTACCTCCTCCTTTTGAGAAGCTACAGCCTGTGCCTCTCCATCTCCTTTTGGGAATTACAATCTGGGGCTCCATCTTGGCTTTTGGGAAATATCGCCCGTGCCTCCATCGGGGCTTTTGGGAAATATCGCCCGTGCCACCTTCTGGGCTTTTGAGAAATATCGCCCGTGCCACCGTCTGGCCTTTTGGGAAATACCACCCGTGCCACCGTCTGGGCTTTTGGGAAATAGCGCCCGTGCCACCGTCTGGGCTTTTGGGAAATATCGCCTGTGCCACACCCATCTGGGCTTTTGGGAAATACCGCCTGTGCCACACCGTCTGGGCTTTT